AAAGTAATGAATCACTAGTATTCAGGTGAGGAAGAAAGTGGTGGAATTCATAGTTTAAATGTGGGCCTATCAACCTAAAGATAGTTTAGAAAATATTTGATACCTTGCTGCTGAAAACAGCTTCATGTCTTTGTCGTCATATATCTGCCTAATTCTCCACAGAGAGCTTTGTGGTAGCTGTGTCCTCTTGGCACAGCAATGAATCTGGACTGCACAAGCTAGGCTGGCAAACTGATGTCGTTATGTTGTTACTATTATTTATGTTCCTAAGCTAAAAATGTGAGGGCTATGAGTTTTTAAACTCTAATATTTTAGAGAAACAGAAGAATTCCATTGAATGTTTATGGCAGACTGGCAGCAAACTTGGATATCCTAGCTTAATAAAAGTAGGGACCAAGGTCATTTCTGCAGGAACGCCTTCTGAAGTTAGTCTGTCAGGATTTTGCAAAGCAGTCATCTAAACAGGTCTTTTGTTCAGCGTGCCTTGCTCTGTCAGCCTTCTGAGAATGTTTGTCCAAAGTTCTGTGAGATTCTGAATGGCCACAAATATTTGAGGCCCTAATCTTTCTTTGCACCTACTAGAATGGAAGTTCCCAACCTTTTGTGTTCCTAACCTCACTTGAGAAATTATGTTCTGGGGAAGCTGCCAGTATGACCAGCAGCATTGTAGTGCATTACCTTGGGCTCTATGCCATGTCTCACCTGCAATGTTCATGCTGCGCTACTGAGGCTCATCATAGTGTTTGGGAAGCAATATGGTAGGTGATACTAGAAGTGTAGGCATGGAAGGATGCTGAAGGACTTTTACATATCAATGGAAGCACCGCTAGTTTCTGAGGTGAGGAAACAGGGAAAAGATTTGATCACACAGTTTTAAAAACAAGCTCTGGGGAAAAAAAAAAAACAACTCCACAATCTAAAAGATAGACCTTTTATGTTCAAAACATCTTCCATAATATCACACCTTTACTTCCCACAGGAAGTCACTTTCATAATAGACATAAAAGTTTTTACATTAAGAGCTGTAAACCTTGGCAGAATTACTTAGGAAATCCTGTGTGAGTGTGTATGCACGACAAAAGACACAATGTTGGTAACCAAAGTCTCCTTTTGTTTTCTTTACTCCTTTGGGTGAATTCTAGGATTCACCCAAAGTAAGTTCCTGCAGAATTTTGCTTTGCAAAATGTAATAAAGTTAGGGGATAGGCTGGTAATTAGATATTCACTGAGGGCAGCATTCTCTAATGCTCATGGACATTGCTGCAAAGTCCCTATTGATTTCAGTAGATAATGTATTATGAATGAACTGTACTTCCTTGAAAATTCCTTTCATGTTGCCTGGGATGTTGGCTCTATCTTCGAGCTCTGGTTTTCCAGTCAGCTAGTGTCTTTGGCCTCTCTGGCCATAAACTGGATTCAATACCAGAATTTTTGTTTGGGATTTCTTCTATCCAGGCTGAATAGCTTTGACGTACTGCTGGTTGAGCAATTTTTCATAGACTGGAAAGTCTATTTAACAAACTTCCCTACTTTCCAATTGTAGTGACTCAAGCCTGTATAGTATATAGGCATCAGCATTTCACTACTTTGCTTCACAGATGAATGTATGTATTCAACTGCACAACTTCCCTTCCTGTTCTAAGGATTCTCTTTAACCGACACACAGCTTAGGTAGAGAAGAGTGATGTTTCATAGCAGCTGTATCTCTTTTTAAGGATCGTCGTGGTAGTCTTCCTCTCAAAGTCCAAAGGAAAAGACATGCCGTAGCAACAGAAAGTGCTAAACAATAGCAACATAAGAAGCAACAAATAGTAAAAATGTACAGCCTGGCTTAGTTCTCTTTTTCACACACATTGTTTGTGCTATGATACATTTTAAAGAGGAAAGTTAGTTAAAAAGGAGAACTCATGCTTTTGATTTCTCTGCATTGAGAGGAAGTATCACTTCTAAGTAAATATGATGCTGCCCAAAGTCTACAGCTAATTTTGAAATCCAAATAATCTTAGTAAAATCTTAGCAAGTCATTTCACTGTTTTTCCTAGGGACAGTGAAGCAGCTGAAAGCGTACCAATGTAGGCCAGCTTACGTCCTTCAGCACCTGGCATCTGGGTATGTCACGAGCCTTCGATTTTATCTAGTGTCAAGATAGTAAGAAATTTTTTTTATTTATACAAATGCAAAAACAAAAGCAGAAATAGAAATCACATTTAATTATTTTCTCAAAATTGCAAATTTGGACTGTAGCACCACTAGAACTTGAATCAAGTTTTCAAGGCTTAAGCCACTGTAGTCCCCCTTCCCTTATTTTGGCCTTAGCTACAAGATAATCAGTTTTGAGGTCAAAGGCAGAGTACTTCTAGCAAATTATTGCTTGATATCTTTGCCTATAGTCCAGCAAAAGCCAGGGACAGCTGTATAGAAACCACACTTCCTCCCAGATGATGATCTTGCAGATCTTTTTGGAAAACTCCTCAGGAATCCTTAAAACATGTGGGAAGAGTAAAACGGGAATTAACTTGAAATCTTTATATCTTAACACCTATGCAAAGGCAATCACACTTTTGATCTGTCTCAAATCTAGACATAATAGAAGAAACAATATTGTCTTCGGGTTGAAAAGCCTATAATCTCCTATTCACGGTGAACTTTGCCTGGGCACATTTGCAGATGGAAATCTCTTAAGGTGTGAAACACTTGCAGAAAATCGGCTTTTTTCATGCTTAAGTGGCAATCATGATGACGTATCACAAGGTATTTGCCCACTTGCTTGTCTGCTTCTGGAGGGAACTATCCTATGGAGGGGAGTTCTTTGCCCACAAAAAGAAATCTATCATTCCCACATTATTACATCCCCTCACAGTCAAACACACTTATGCCCTGGAGCACTGAGCAAGGGTTTCCGTATCTGGCTTTTGCAGAGCTAAGGTGCAGCAGGTCAATGACTTGCAGAGAATGGCTGAGGATTACACTTTAAATTGAGTTTCTTCTTTAAATACACAACTTCTCTTGTGGCTTGAACTCTCCACCTCCCATCAAGAAGGAGACTTCTTAGTCAGAACTGCTGCCTAGGGGAGCCTTGAATGTGACTGATGATGCTGAGAAAGGTTTCTGAAAACCTCCCTGGCCAAATAATGGAGACAATACTTTTTTTTTTTCCCCTCAGTTTACCAAGTTCACAGTTTACCAAGCTGTGATAAACTCCTTCAGATTTGCTATGATAGCAAGCGGTTCCCAACTTTCTGCAAGGCAAACCCCTAGCTGCCTTCGGCATGTGTTCTGCTCCACAAGATGGTAAAGTACAAGTGGAGGCATTTTATTCAATGCAGTTTTATGTTGATAAAACTAAGGGAAACAGTCCTTTTCACGTAATACCCCAGGAGCGATGCTACTCCAGATGAGTTGGAGCTTATTCCTACTCATACTTCAACAAAACTAATGTCGTCTCTTCTGGTTTGAATCAATGTAGGTAGCAACTTTGAAGGAAAATAAATTTAAAAGACAAATTCTGAGTGAGATAAGAATATGCATGAAAGATCTAAACGATTTACTTTTCCATAAGGAAAATAAATGAATCTGCTTTTCTCAGTTGCCATTTATATAGTTAGAGTAAAACTTGTTACCTACCTGCACTGCAAGTCAAAATCATACCATTAGATAATGAGATTTTCCCAGTGTTTCACATGCACTTCCTGATATTGAACATAAACATGAATGTTCAGAAAAAGCAGCAAATTCATAGTATTCTACAAAGATATTTTGGCTCTTAACCGGAATTTTCAGTAGTGTACTTAAAAGTTTTATAAGGTTTTAGCAAGTTCCTCTCAGTGCATTGTTTCTTACTAGGTGGAATTATTGCTCCACTTTCAAATGTGTTCAATGGTGAAAAGAAATCATGGCAATATTCTAGGTAGTAAAACCTAGTAGCAAATACAGAGAAAAATATTTAGATATATTTGAATATTTATCCCATACTCAGCCTACAGGCTTGTTTAGGCAACCATGTAGCAGACTGGATTTTAAAGATCCTGTCTGTAAGCCCCCAGACAGCCCTAGAAATTTTGCCCCAGTATTTATTTCAAGGCTGTAGGTTCTGCTATAGCAATCAGAATAACAGTACAACAGAAGAGCAAGAAATGACTCAAGAAGGCAATATTAAAAAAGACTTCTTAATAGTTTTGAGCTGAGTTGAGGGCTCAGGTTGTAGTAGGTTTGGAGCTGTATTTTGACGTGTTTGGTGGTATGGAAGATTTGCTACTTATTTAAACTGGGGACTTGAGAACTCTTCTGGTCAAGGAATTTAGCTTAAAGTTTCTGCCCCTTGGAATATAAGTATGTTAACTTTGAATAAGAATATATGGAAGTCACGCCCAACTTGTTTCCTAGTTATTTTTCTTCCTAATAACTTCAGATATGGCAGAAACCAGAGCCCGATTTGGGATAATTTTTTACCCCAGAGTTTTTACCCTGGTTCTACCCCATTTGACTTTCATGCAAGCAGAATTTATTCACAACCTAATCTCTAATCTTACATTAGAGTCTCCAAGTTTTAAACCTATCCCTCTTGCAGAAGATGTGGTTTGTGCTGAAGCTTTTGGTACTGTTCTGATTCAGCAATGACCTCGTTGGCCCACTAATGGGCCCACACTCCACCTGGGCCAGGAGAGAAAGATCCACCTATAGCAGTCCTTCTTTAATGGGATAAATATTTTTTTAAATTGGTTTTTCAGGTGACCATGCTGCTGATTGAAAAATTGTGTTTTATGAATGGTTGGAAGAATTGTGCTGTTGTGTCATTTGTTCAAGAAGTTTTTTGTTGTTGCAAATGTTATTTAAAGGCTTAATCAAATGAGGAAATACCTCTGCTATTGTAGGCCAAATTCTCTCAACTTTTTTTTTTTTTTCACTTCAGCTTTTTGATGCTGACTGAGTGGATTTTTTTTATTTTATTGAAACAGTTCAGATTTTGCTCAGACCCCCTTCAAACATCTTCAGATGCAGGTATGAATCTCTTTAAGGAGATCCTGCCTAGAGTAAGGAAGATTCTTTCAACTGCTACAGCTTCTGATGACCACGCATTGCTTAACCTCATGCTGAAAGAAGATGTGATATCCAAGGAGTACCATCAAGCCTTGCTCCACGAAAAAGACAGAGAGGACCTCGCAAGGAAGATATCTCTGACATTTGTGGAAAAATGGGACCTGTACTTGAACACTTTGGTTCCCCTCTGTTGTTTAAACCTCTATGGCAGTAAGCCTCAAAATATGACAGATAATGAGCCAACAGGAAGCAAGTACGTTTCTGGTAAATCAGCTTTTATTTCTTTTTTACTTTGTTAAAGATTACTTTTGTTTATTGCATTTTGACATTGCATTGTGACATAGTGCAAAGTACATCAGTGGAGAGCAGGTGGGGAAGAGAAGAGAGCAGAATGTAATGCAAGAGCAGCTAAAAAGAGATCCACCCATTCAGGGTAGCTACCGGATAACCATTTTGATAGCCAGGCCATAATAAAACTTGTTCTTTGCCACCTGTTGTAGAACCAGAAAAGAGACCATAATAAGGTCAGTTTTTCTCACCTGACATACCAACCATTGATAGTCTGAGTAGCATTTGTTCATGGCACATGCTGGCAACTCACGTAGGGAAATCTCTTATCTTTTTCAATCATATATGGGAGGAATGCTCTCCACTTTGAATTCCAGATGTCTATAAGCAACAAAATTGCACTGTCTACAATAGACGGCTGCAGATTTAAGGAGGGGAAGTACTTAATGACTTATGAAGCTGGATTCAAGAGCTTTGAGGTTTTTAGCAGGCAGCAGGAGAGATAAAAATGCAGACACCTTATAATTCTGAGGCAGTAAACTCACTTTTTAGTCTGACCCACCAGAGGATTTATGTATATGTTGGAGAACAGGGATAGCTCTGGGACAATCTTAACGTTGTCCATCCGCTGTAAAATGACAGAATCCCAGCTTAAATTATAGCATTCAGAACTACTTTTACAAAACCAAGCAACTGTAAAAGGAGAGTAAAAGAATACTTAGTAGAATATTGGGGTAGTCCTGTAAAACTGATGGAAGGATCCTGAGTGCAACATAGTGAGGGGTATAAATTTTTTCCTCTCCTAAAATAAAGTATTGGACATCACTTCTTAAGGCATGAATGAAAGTACAAGAGGAAATGCTGGGGAGAAAAATTAAGGTCGTTCATGAGAGGGCAAAATACTGACCCGGAAGATTTTAGCTCTGTTACTACACACATTCAAATTAATGCCAAGAATTCATATTTTAAATGTAGAATATCATAGCAAGTGGCCTAGTGTCACTTATGCTGGGACTGTATATAGTCTGGTTTCTACTTTTAAATAAATCCCTGAAGTGCTTGAAAAGATACCTGCTCCTTCTCATTTTTGTAATGGTAGCACCTAAAATCTCCATTCAGAGATCTCGATCCTGTCATGCCTGGCTCTGTATCTCTGTCACAAAGCCTGCATTTATTTGAGACATGACAGAGGAAAGCTGAAGTGCATCAGAAGAAGCATTAGTCTTCATCCATCACACGTTCAACCACTGTCACTGTTCTCTAGATTTTGTAGTAGAGACAGGCTTAAAAAAAGTGGTTTCAAAGACTCACCAGGAAATACTCAAATTGTATTAGAGACTTCAGCTTCCTTTGAAGAAAATTCTTTTCTGACTTTCTTTTTGAAATTTGTTAATTTTTCAGCCTTATATTCAATCATTGTCTCACTCTGAAGAAGCCTTGCAAAGAAAACTCGGGTCAGGAACAGATAGATATCAGCAGGTTTCTCACTAACTACTTAATAGTTTTGCAACTATTCTACCACAAAACAGATCTTTACACTTTCTAGACAAAAAAGTCCCAGCTTTCCCCCTCTTGCAAAGTGCACTATTGACATCCATTTTGCAGTGGTTCCGATACTAATCAATGTGTTCTGTTCCCTCCTTTTGCAGTAGGGCAGCGTATCAGCAAACATTGAAGCAAAGAAGCTGATGGTCACCTGAGAAGCTCAGGCAGTTCTCGGCTGTCTCACAGCCTCTTGTTTTCCAGTCTGCTTTTCCCTCTGTCTCTAAGACCATCTTTATAGACTAGTCCACTAGATGAACCAGTAATCTGATTTGCTTTAGCAATTCCTTTCTGCTGTTTCTAAGCAGCTATGGGTGTTGTACAGAAAGCGGACAACTAGTCTTTGCTGCAGTTATGAACTGGAATCACAGTGAACAGCTGAACTCTTTTGTTCCCCAAACTTTCATTCTTGAAGTATATAGATCGCCTCATGGGATTGCAGCCTCAGAAGCTGATAAAGAAATCTGCCTGCAGGGCTGGTAAAGGACCTTATAACTTGTGGGGTTGTGCTGCACATTAGAATAAGTAACAAATAACCCTCTTAAATTTTGTAGGGATTTCTCATGCAGTGATTGTATTATCGTCTCCTATCAAAATAGAGCACTAAAATACAGAATCTGTATTTGTGCAGCCTTTCATTATTTTCTGTTCTGAATGCTGTTATACCATTTCTTCTAATGTGCATAGAGGAATTCCAAGAACACAGCTGCCTGGCTGGTTAGAAAGCCTGGAGAGGCTAGTGCTCTGCATCGCAGGCTGGGCCCCGTATCTCCGTCAGTACTGGGAACAGATCAGCCGTTCCCAGGAATGAAACAGCTTTCTCTCTTCTCAGTGAGCGTGTTCCGTAGAACCTGGTGGAAGTGGATCTCCTCTGCAAAGGAAAAGACAGATCAGCAGCTGCTTTGCTTATAGGACCTGCTGCCTTGTGCAAAAGCCATTTGTTACTGAGCAGCTGATTAAAAACTTGCCTTACTGAAGCAGCAAGTCCTGGATGTTGTTGACTTCATCAGATCCCACTTCCTTCCTTTCCCCTTCAGACTCTGGTGGAAATTTTATTATAAGCTATAGCCAATGGAATAATACTATAAAAAGTATTTGCTCACTTGAGAATATATTCTCTTTCATAATTAATTTCTAATTTGTGTAGGTCTATGCATGATAAAAAAATAGAAAAATAGGCCAATAAGCTTGCAGAGCCACACAGAAGCAGCTATAGGCATCGTGACAGGAATGCCCACAAATGAAGTTGGTTTTCAAGATTGTCTTACACCAGGTAGGCGCTGGCAGGGTAAGTGATGATTAGATGAACAAACCCTGAACACCATGTGTAAGCCAGACAAGATTTACAAGCTCCTGTTTTGTAGAACATCCTACTTGTCATTTTGGGCCAATGGCAAGAGATACTTGCACAAGATAGCAAACTAATTTTGTATTGGTAGAGCCTGTGAATGTGTGAAAGAAATACTTTCACTTCCGTTACACCAAATGGAGCTGCGAGGTAAGAGTGTCTGCATGCTTCATGCTTTATTCTTACTGATGGACTGTTTAACAGCATGACTTTGGGACAGATCTGAACTGGAATAAAAAGGAGAGGAAGAATTCTGGGGAGCACCAGAAATGGTTACCGGCAGCTCCCGTCCATTTTCGGTTTTCAACCGAATAAATCAATCTGTTCCTAACTAATGACAAGTGCAAGCTCTTCTTAGCGGTGACAAGTGAGAGGTAAAGATAACAGTGCTTACTATACAGGGGTTGCTAGAAGGGAGGTTCCTCTTAATTTTCCTCTTGTGAATTCCCCCTGAGCCCTTAACTTTTCTGCAGTGACTGATCTGGCTCATTTCCTCCTTGCTGGTGTGACTTTCTATACGGGCAGTAATAGTAGCCCTCCTTGTTTTTTGATACTGAATCCAGAGTGAAAGAACAGGAACTGTCCAGCTTCCTAAGGTCAGTTTTTCCTCAACTCTTGAATGCAGTGCTTTTGTCATGGTAAATTCATCTTACCTTACCTTTTGTAGATATTGGTAACTACAGCGTTGTATTGCTTGAAATATTAGTAGGATGAAGTCTGAATGTGGGTGAACTTTTGGAGACCTTTTAGTGATTTTGTTTTGTGGCTAGCTGTTACTTGCTCAAAAGGTTGCTGTAGTTTGTTTCAGACTTTGTTAAGAACGTAGTTGTTTTTTGTATAAATGTCACTCCTGTAGAAAGTGAAACTGAAGATCATTGGAAGGAACTGGCTTATTTCCAGGGGTTTTTTTACAGGTCTGGCAAGACAACCTAGAGCTTTACTTTCCCATTTAGGAGGGCTGAGATTCTGTCTTGAAGAAAGTCTCTGAGTGCAAATGTACTTTTTCTGCCAAAAAAGCTTATAGGCAAGGTGGCTGCTGTGCCGTTTTATTTCATCTTACTGCTGGGATGGGAGAGCTGGGCACAGCCATGACACACGAGGCTATACTGGATATGAGAAGGCAAATTCTGCTCTCAAATCACAACTCTGACACCTGCAGGAGAGTACGTTATTAGTCTGCCTGAAGTTGGCTGTCTCCAGCACAAGGCTAGTAACATTTCTTTTATCTCTTGTGTTGGTCACTATACAGCTAAGTTCATTGAAAGGCAGAAGCTCTTTTTACCTGTTATTGATACTTTTTCTAACTTCTTTAAACTCATCTCTAAGGGAGACAAAGGAGAATGTGGCAGGATATAGAGCAGCTTTTTTCCAGCATCATCTCTGTTGTTCTTCCTTTTTAGACTATAAAGCCCATGGAAAGTAACACACCACTCCATCGGCAAGATAAAGTAGTATCTTTTGTTAAATCAGGTAACACAACAGGAAAAGTTAAACCGGCTTTCAGATGTATAAGCCTTTAATAGATCTGAAATAAAAACTAAAACCTTCAAAGCTAAATATAAATTGAGCACCATTACTTGCAGTTTATGAATAATCAGGCCATCTCTGAAAGGAAAATCTGTTTGGTACCTGTGGAGCAGAGGAATTGTTAGTGGTGGATCTGGGGAGAGGTGTTGCAAGAAAGTAACATTTCTTCAGCAGTCTTTGTGTTTAATTTTTCAACCTCCTGTCTTCACAGCAGTCCTGCTCTCTTATTTTTCTGTAACCTAAGACTTGGAGCTGTAATGTTATGTCATCCTCTGGTTAAGAAATGTGTGATTTGCATGGCACTACTAATCTTTTCTATGAACTATCCTCAGCTTCCTAAACTGCTACAAAAATTAAATTGCGGGGGGGAGGGGGGCTGTTCCTCTGTTCCTGACGTGACTTTACATATTTTCATTTTCTTAACCTCTATACTCATGTGGGAGATTATTTTATTACCTGTCAGTTCAGATGTCAACAGAGTTTTGGGAAGGAAACCCTCGTAACAAATCTCCTCAGAAGCATCCACCTTATTTTTGGAGTAAATGTTACATTATTGTCT